GGCGCCTCGTGGTTGAAAGACTATCGAAGAAAACTTTTCTTTGAACATACAATGGTAGCTGGGTGAAAACAACGATGCAAGCATCGTATCCGAGTCCACTTTCTGGCTATGATTTGAAACTCCTGTGCAGGTGATGTCGAGACAAAAAATGCGACTGCTTTCGACTACGTACTTCTAGACAGCCTACCAAACAAGTGCATCCACATGGACATACAAAACATCCATTCAATTCACACAAACACCATGACGACTGTCTAAAGAAGGAAGGCAGAAATGCAGTCCAAACTTCTTCATAGTAAAGAAAGCCTGGGTTAAATTTTACACCCAGATAAAGACAAATGGAAAAGGCACATGGAGGAGGCATGTGATATAGGTTTTGAGACGATGAAACTTGTCGCCTAACAATCCGAATAAATCAAGCCTTATTTTGTTTACTAGCTGATATGGGCGATTGCGACATAGAAATAGTCGCTAGCTTACTAGAATTTCCAATCCGACCCGTTTTGTAGAGGTACTTCAAAACCCCGATTCAGGGCAATTTAAGGCGGTTACTAAGGCAGCCGCTCTTCCCCACCAATTTGTAAGGGACCAGAAAAACAAGGCAAATTGAGATTATAAGAAACACTGCTCACGTAATCGGGAAAGTGGCCCCACGAAAGTGGCTGCGAATCACGAATGAGGCATCGCATCAACCGTGCAACATTTTGCAACACCGTCCTCGCGGGATGAGCCGCCATTGCGGCCTAAATGGTGACCAGAAAGACAAAGGAGTTAGGCTTTATCGAGGCAAGCTAGAATAGAATCAACACGAAAAGGAAACGGAGAAAATAAAATAGGTGGGAGGGGTGGATGTTTGTGCAAGAGAATACCTGAAGCCATAGTGCCCGCCTCATATCAGTAAGCGCGTCTCGGCAGACTCTTGGAGAGAGACAGAGAAGCGCTTTGCTGAATTGAGTCTGCTCATCATCATCATCATGACGAGTGCCTCCACTGCCGCTACCACTGCAATTCCCACTAGTTGCAAAAGCAGCAGCAGTGGTACGACCCTCATGATAATGATCATCAGCAACACTTTTAGGTTGCTTGGGTGCAGTCCCCGCTAGACAGGAGGGAAAAAGGTGGTGCACAACTATGTTCTATCAATAATAAAAAAGTAATATGATGCTATTAGTAATACGCTGACTACTGGCAGACGCATCAACAACGGGGCGCGCTTAAAACCGATGACTTTTTTCCCCTCTGCACTCATCCCCCATCCGAACACCCATAAAACTACTATTTGACCGAATCAGGATAAACCGCATCAAACGAGGCTGATTTTTAACAAACACCGATCAAGTTTAGCGAATGAGATTCAAGACCGGCGACCAAACGAAAGTCATAGTTACGATGCCACATAATTGTTCAAAACCGAGAGCTAGGTTGAATTAATTAGAGAAATAAGCCATCTTTAATTAACCTAGCTTTCAACTGACAGAATTAATCAGCGTTGTCCAAACCCCAACCGACTGAAGAGGATAGGGACATCAACTGACGCAGATGCGATGGGTCCAGATAAGAGTCAGGCCCACCAGTCGGCCGGCCCTATCATTTGTACGACGCGTGTTACGCTATGACGCATCGTAAACCGCATCAACGATTTCGTGGACTAATGTCAAGACTAATTGCAGTGTAAGAACCTAGTTGTACACCCATTCCGATGGAGTTAAATTACCGAGCCTTAGCAACAAAGGAAGCCCTCACCTTTGGAGTCCAAAATGCGGGTGGAGGTGAGGCGAAGTCGGACAGTTGCCACAATATCCGTACCGGTCGAGCCGTCTGTTTTATTTGTGGGTTTCGGAGACATCTGAATCAGCACGTAGCTCCCTTCGACAGTTACCACGGTGACTGAGTGATTCTTGCACGACTCCTGTGACAGAACGGTAACATGCAATCGAATTCACGGTGAAAGCCTTTTGTGGAACCAAAGGGGATACACGTGTTAAGCGGCAAATGCATGAAGAAGCAAAACTGTTTAGTAGTGAAGACAAAAACAGGGTTGTGGCAAAGACAATGATGGCACCCAGACCGTGTCAATAGCACAGCTCAATAGCCAGGACGTTAACAAGGAAGAAATGAGGATGACAGCATTAGCTGGATTAAGGCATTTGTGAGCAATAGTGAGCTACCCAAAACCTGGCAAAGAGGGAATACTGAGCCTTGTCAATGCCTCAAAGAAAAGCAAAGCTATCCGCCCAAACTGACTGTTTGTTGAGCATCCACAGATTACGAGGACTCAAGACGAACCCTTAAAAGCGACCCAGCAGTTGTGTTGCAATAATCTATGCTCAAGATCACTGTGAGAAGTCGTCCAGGTTGAAGCATTGCCTTCCAGAGGACCATTGTCGATGCCCTTTCAATAAGCACTGAAAACCACAAGCACGAACACGACACTCATGTCTATACGAATTTCCTCACGAAGTGGCGAAAAAATGGCAAACTTTCAGGATGAAAAAGCAACTTAGCTGCAAAATTGGAGGTTCTACTTATAGTGAAAATAAATCTACTTCACTTTAAGTTCAATTGAAGTGCCAGACGAAAATGTTCCACTAGAGGGCAGCTTCCAGTCAATAAAATGGTCCCCAAAATCCACCCTTCCACTTCTTGAAAGCAGTTGAAGTGGGGCAAACATCCGCACCGCTAACGTTAAAATCAAGAAGTCTTTGAGTCATCATCTGAGCTCATCATTACATCAGTATCCACACTTGAGACTGCCAACACGACGATAACGCAGGACACAACCGATCAGACAGTCACCTGAGGGTACTACACTGACACTTCGGTCACTATGGATCATACCAACGCAATGGCGTTAAGACCTTTCATCCATGCCTGTGTCCACCTAGCCCTTTCGCCTGTCGTTGTGTTTCAGCATGAAATGGTCATCAAATATACACTTTGTGGAGGGAAGATGCCTGCATCGAGTCAGTATAGAGGAGCTGGAGTGGTCTCAAATTCGCCGAACCACCAGTTTGAAGGTCAGTGAAGTGAGGAATGCACGGAGATCCCAAGCAAATCCACACTGTATAACTTTACCCATAGCAACTTCCTAACGGTAAGAAATCACACCACGACAGAGGTGAACGCCAAAGACCTTTTCATGACTGCGAGCAGGGCGCGATCACCAAAGTTGAAAGCAATTTCCCAAAGCTCAATCGAGAAAGAAAAGGAGCGCTAGGGGCCGACTCCTACACTTAAGAGGATGTTGAGATGCAAACCTGATCGTGAAGCATCTTGCGCCATGATGCAAGGCAGGTCGGAGGATAGATTGAGCAGGTCAAACCACCACAATGCCACATTCTATGAGATGGTTAGAAGTCCCAAATATTACCGATTTTAAAACAAGTCTTGAACGAAAAAGGCAAAGTGCTTGGAATGCAAAAAAAAGGAGTAAAAAAGGGACCAATAGTAATGATAGTATAAAATGAAGAAATTCTAACGGTG